CCTTCCAAGCCAAGCAACGAAGCCGATTATCCTACACCCACCACCAGCAATTACAGTCCTCTTGCTGCTTTAAGACCCCACTGGCATTATTGTAGAAGGGATGCCATTGTTGCGATAATGGAAAAATTGCTACGAGGGATCTTGGTATAATGGTTCATCTAGCATTCCCTAAAATATTGATTGATACATTTTAGAGCTGGTGAAGGAAGGATTCAAGACGGCTGAGAAGGTAATCGTGGCTGCAGAAAAAGGAATAGAAGTGGCAGAGAAGGGAGTAGAAGTAGGGATAGAGGCGGTGGAGAAGGAGATCACAACGGCGGTCAACTTTGGAGGGCTGGCACAGGCGGGAGTGGAGGCGATTAGAGTTTTGATTGACACTGGTATAGTGAATGGGATTATAGGTCCAGAAGCCAAGATATCATGAAGCAACTAAATTAATAGTTTGATTGTATTATATGTTTGTATGGTGAAATGACTGATGATTTTGTTGAAGCAAAAACCAATAACTAAGACCTAGCAATTCTACATTTCTTCTTTTTCTTACTGATATGCAAAAACAAATCAAGAAATTTGATTGTATTATATGTTTGTATGGTGAAATGATTGATGATTTTGTTGAAGCAAAAATCAATAACTAAGGCCTAACAATTCTACATTTCTTATTTTTCTTACTGATGTATAAAAACAAATCAAGAAAACTATTTACTGTTAATTGAATTTTTCTTTATGCTTGTTGTTGTTCAAATGTTGTTATGGCTGGGGTGTTCGAATGTTGTGAGGTTTACAATTAAGATTGTAGAGATGGTGGAAACAGCCTCCGTGGGTTGGGGATGCTGCTCCTAGATTCAGTTGGTGCATTCAAGGTGTTTGCAAAAATGAGAATGTGAAAAGTGATATTTTGTGACTTTTTCCTGAAAAAGTCACAATATCTTATTAGAGCAATTAATTGGATATATAGGTGTGTGTTTTTGAAAATTTAAATAACAAATATTCAATAAAGTAAGGATGGGTTCGTATCTTGCACGAATTTGATTATAGGTGGATTTTTGTCAACGAGAAAATCACCATCATATTATTTTTGTCATTTTTTTTAATTTTATTTTTGTCACTTTTTTTGAATTTCATCACTTTTGAATGTGTCACTTTTTTTAAATTTTCGTCACTTTTTTGAGTTTGTCACTTTTTGAGTGTTTTATTACTTTTTTTATTGTCTGTCACTTTTTAAATCTGTATATCTTCTTTTAATTTGTGCAACTTTTTTGAATTGTCACTTTTTTTTTAATGTTTATCACTTTGTTCAATCACTTTCTTGATTTCTATCACTTTTTTTAGTGACAAATATCGTTTTTTTTTTAAATAAAAGTGACATTATATGTCATTTTTAACAAAAAAAATGACACTTTAACTTTAAAAGTGACAGTGTATCACATTTTCATTGTCACTTTTTTTTACATAATCAGCATGTGGATTGACCTGAACGTGATGATTATTTTAAGAACATGATTACTGGTATTGCACAAATGGATGGTGCTATTTTGGTATTTGTCATTTTTTTTAGTTTTGTCACTTTTTTTTTAGTTTATGTAACTTTTTTAAAAAAAAGTAAAAAAGTGACTTTTTTTTTTTAATAAAAAAGTGACATTTTGTCACTTTTTCATTTTACACATTATTTTTTACTTGCTAAAAACTTTTTACATGATTTTTCAAAACATCCCTAATTTTAAGGGTATTTTTGTAAGTACCCCAATTTTATTTACGGTAAATATAATTTAACACGGGCCAAAGTTACGGGCCGGCTCGTGCGGTTCGACAAGCCCCACGGGCATGCCCAAGTTTGAGCTAAGTCCCAAATTTTGAATTTGGCTCAGGCCTTGGCTCGGTTTTACGTAGCCTCAAGCTGGGCCAAGCCGGGCCACGGGCCGTCTTTTGCCATCCTTATGTAAAAATGATCGGGGTAGGTATGCTACTATGCTCAAAGATTGGAGATCAATGGGGAATTTTTGCCCAACGTTAATTTAGAGCTTGTTTGAGAGGGATTAAAATTGAAAAACTAGCTGCTATTGTTAACTTTTATTAGAAGAGTGGGACCCAGCCAATAACGACTATATTTTTTATTTTAATTGGATTAAAATCCCTCCCAAACAAACTCTTAATGGTTACTGAAGTTTATATGAAACTTCAAGTCGGTCATTAAAGTTTCTCCCGACCCATTTAGTGACTGAAGTTTATAATAAGTGGTTACTCGATTAACGAAAGTAATGTATAATTTGACGATATTCATTTTACATATTAAGCGCCATTAATTTAATAATTTATATAAAGCTATAAGTGCAATGAGCTAATAATGGTAAGTCATATTCTTTTACGTCGTATCCATTTCTAATTTGTAACAATTGAGCCTATGTGTTCAAACTTGTATATCATATGTATTGTCTATTTTTGGAGAGCTTTTGCAATCTTATCCCTAATGACTTTCCGTCATGTCTCCCATGATTCAAAATGGTTTAAATTTGTCCTAAATTTTGACTGGATATTCACATTTAATTTTTCAATAGAAAAATAAGATAATTTTTAGCATTATTAATTTCCAGATACTATGCAATCAATCGAATGGATAGATGGATCAAATCCAATCAAAAAAAGGGAGCCCAGAACATTTGCCCTATGGTACTTAAGTTTTGGGAAATCATTCGTCATCTTACCTCTTACGAATTTCTGTCGCATTTTTATAATAAGATAGATATCTTGGGTTTGAATCATAAGGAACGCGACAAAAAAGGAATAAGTCATCCCAAAACAAACAGTATGTTTGATATAAGAAGTTGGACATAGATGTCAAGTATTACATACTGATTTCAATTAGGGATGAAATTCTAATTGGGTTTGATTAGGAGCTTCTAGCACATGTTTTCTGTTTTGAGGAGATCTTGACTTCTTCCCCTTCCATTATTTGTACTGCTCACTTTGTTTCAGTCAAAATCCATAACGGCTGATCGATTAAGAATAAAGGAGGAAAAATGTATTTTTAAATGAGTAAAAACATGTATAGTATTACTCGTGCATGTGTATCAATTGAATTAACGGCATTTTGGTCCACTTGATTGATGCTATACGTCAAATTATACTCTAAGCCCTTGTTTGATGGTGTTTTGAATAGTGAATTTTTGGAGAATACGTGATTAAAATGTATGAAAAAATTTTGAATTTAAGTACAAAATATTTTATTGTATAAATATATGATTGAAAATCAGTATGAATATTAAAGAATTTTGAAATAATGATTAGAGTTTTTTTCAAACCGGGCAAAACAGTTTGATTTAGGTTTGAGTTTTTCTCAAACCGGTCAAAACGGTTTGGTTTGAAAATTTGTCAAAAATCGCAAAAATCGGACCGCTTACACCCCTATCTTGAACTGGCTCGGACCGGTTTCAGGTCCGAGCAGCCCGTGATTCGGCCCACACGATTCACGGGCCGAACCACGGGCCGGTTCGGGAACGGGCGGGCCGCATCTTGACAACTTTAGTTTTACGTAGCCTCAAGCTGGGCCAAGCCGGGCCACGGGCCGTCTTTTGCCATCCTTATGTAAAAACGATTGGGGTAGGTATGCTACTATACTCAAAGATTGGGGATCAATGGGGAATTTTTGCCCAACGTTAATTTAGAGCTTGTTTGAGAGGGATTAAAATTGAAAAACTAGCTGTTATTATTGACTTTTATTAGACGAACGGGACCCAGCCAATAACGGCTATATTTTCAATTTTAATTGGATTAAAATCCCTCCCAAACAAACTCTTAATGGTTACTGAAGTTTATATGAAACTTCAAGTCGGTCATTAAAGTTTTTCCCGACCCATTTAGTGACTAAATTTTATAATAAGTGGTTACTCGATTAACAAAAGTAATGTATAATTTGACGAGACATTCATTTTACATATTAAGCGCCATTAATTTAATAATTTATATAAAATTATAAGTGCAATAAGCTAATAATGGTAAGTCATCTTTGGAGAGCTTTTGCAATCTTATCCCTAATGACCTTTTGTCGTGTCTCCTGTGATTCAAAATGGTTTAAATTTTGTCCTAAACTTTGACTAGATATTAACATTTAATTTTTCAATAGAAAAATAAGATAATTTTTAGCATTATTAATTTCCAGATACTATGCAATCAATCGAATGGATAGATGGATCAAATCTAATCAAAAAAAGGGAGCCCAGAACATTTGCCCTATGGTACTTAAGTTTTGGGAAATCATTCGTCATCTTACCTTTTACGAATTTCTATCGCATTTTTATAATAAGATAGATATCTTGGGTTTGAATCATAAGGAACGCGACAAAAAAGGAATAAGTCATCCCAAAACAAACAGTATGTTTGATATAAGTTGGACATAGATGTCAAGTATTACATACTGATTTCAATTAGGGATGAAATTCTAATTGGGTTTGATTAGGAGCTTCTAGTACATGTTTTCTGTTTTGAGGAGATCTTGACTTCTTCCCCTTCCATTATTTGTATTGCTCACTTTGTTTCAGTCAAAATCCATAACGGCTGATCGATTAAGAATAAAGGAGGAAAAATGTATTTTTAAATGAGTAAAAACATGTATAGTATTACTCGTGCATATGTATCAATTGAATTAACGGCATTTTGGTCCACTTGATTGATGCTATACGTCAAATTATACTCTAAGCCCTTGTTTGATGGTGTTTTGAATAGTGAATTTTTGGAGAATATGTGATTAAAATGTATGAAAAAATTTTGAATTTAAGTACAAAATATTTTATTGTATAAATATATAATTGAAAATCAGTATGAAAATTAAAGAATTTTGAAATTTTGAAATAATGATTGTCAAACTGGGGTTAATTTTGTTAATGAGTTACCGATGATGAAATGCATTATAAACTTCTGTGCAGAATGTGTAAGAAAAAAGTTTAATGATCAACTTGAAATTTTGTACAAACTTTAATGACCATTGATGAAATTAACTCTACGCAATGTTACTCCGGGTCGTATGCACCAAACACGTAGAGGCTCCACTCAACGCTTGCACTGATACGCTAAACAGAATGGCTGCTCCTCTCATCGGAGCTCCACCGTTTTTCCGCTTTCAACATCCCCATTTTCAAGTCGCCACTTGTTTGCTAACTCATCGGTCCTGGTGCTGCGCCGCCTATTTAACTCGTCCAGACAAGGATTCCTCCTCTGTTTGCCAAACCGCAGCTGCAGCACTAAGCGCTAAAGACCCACCCAAGTACCTGAGAAGGGACGACTCGGATTTCCGAAAATGGAAACAGAAAGAAGCGGAAATACTCAAAGACATCGAACCCATTATTAATCTCACCAAAGAAATTCTACACTCGAATAGGTGTTTTCTCTCGTCCATTCAAGTTATCTTATCTTGAACTTTAATAAATTATGTTTAAATAATTTTCTTCATCTTCATTTTTTGTCAATCGCTATTATTTGCAAGTTTTCTTGAGGTAAAAAAGGTGTGGTTTGATGGGATAATTGAATGTCCAAAGAAGGGATTTACTATGTTAAATTGAATACTTCAAACAGTTCCTGACAATACATTATCAAGATACAAAATTACGTCCTTATCTAAAATCCAGTGATAATATGTCTAATTTAGGCTGCTGCCTTGTGACCTTGTCCCAGTGAGTAGTTTTACCATGGACATGGCAATTATTTGTGTACCTTATCGGTTAAAAGCTGGCACCTATTTTAGTTTATGGGAAGTCTAATATTCGAAGGCAATTTTTATAAAGGCGTTTTCTTGTCAAACTGAAAAAACTCAACTTTTAATACTTTTTCATTGAAAGAGCTTCTTTAGACCTCAAATGTCCAATATGTGTATGGAAGCTATCTTCTTCCATTCAATATATGTATGGAAGCTATTTTCTTAATTTACGTTTGAAGATTATGCCTAAACATCTCGAGGCTTATGCCTTGCCTCATGAAGGAAAAATGTCTCAATACCCGGTTACGCCTTTTCAAACATTGACAGTCTTTATTACAAAATAATAAGTAGCTATCAATTGACTAGTTTCTGCCTTTGATTTCTTTTATTTTATTCTAAAGCTGCCATTGGTAATAATTCTCCCTGTTGTTGGTAGCAACTTCTGGTGATACCATGATAAAGTAATTTTATTTTTTTTTACCTTGGATATTGTGAATAATCTACAATTTGCAATCAATTGGATATCATCGGATAAGGCCGTTTTGCCGTGTATATTAAGAAAGATATTTTTCGTTATACATTGTTTTAAAGTATGAAAATTCATATAGAACAATCGTGTTTTTATTGAAAAAAGTGCCATATTTTTTCAATTTTTTGTTATTATTTTGTCTCAAATTTTTTATTGTTAGTCCAAATATGCCCCCACTGAAATGTATTTTCTAGCTCTGCGACTGGTTTGAAAAAAATGATACAAAGTAGCTCCTGAAGTAGTGTGATGGGCTTATTCATAGTGCCTTCGAGCCCTTTTAAAACTCAGTTACTTAGACATTGTGTTTAAGGGCCTGCATACTAAGAAATTTAGAGACAAGTTCTTACACCGTTACACGTTTGAGGTACAAGGGTATTTCTGAATATTAACTAAGGTGAGGTCACTCTTAATAAAAATTGTAATCATTCGAACTTTGTCCTTAAACAAGTTCCTATATTTTTATCGCGTCGTGCCCTTTGTACTACATACAAGGAGAAGAACAACAAAATAAGCTTTTTCCCCAATAAATTAAGGGTCATCTAGAATAATTATTTTTGCACTTTGCAGTTCATTGCTAAATCTACATTTTACAAAATGATTTAAAGCAAGTAGATATTTAGCAACTACCTGATAAAGTCTAGGCTATGTGAGACATGCTAACACTCCCCTCAGCTCTGGTGCTAGAGTCACTGAGAACACTCCCCTCCACAAAGGGCTAGAAAAACAAACCCAATGTAACCTTGGCAGACGGTTCCTATATCATGATGAAGTCCATTGGCCTAACTCATTGCCTTAAACTCAGTTTGCAATGTGAAGTTTAGCTTCATCTAATATATATATATATATAATTATTATTTTTTATATTTTTTAATAGGTAAAGCTTCATCTAATATATAACACATCGTAATTTGTACCCAGGCAGTGAGGGAAATGCCAACACTGATAGCCAATTACTTTTTTTGGTCTACCCCATTTTGGACACGTTTAGTCGAGACTGCCTCACTTTGCACTGTGTTCTACATATATAGACAATTTTTTTATGAAGATCCAAACGGATTTTACTAGCAAGGCCTAAGTAATATTGTGGATGGATAAATTAGAAGCATAGAGTACCTTGTGTGAGGGTGTAGCGACTTTGGAGAAGGGAAGATTAGAAATTACGAAGTGGATTTTCACATATAAAATGATCTAGCAGTAATATATGTTGGATTTTTCCCCAGTTGAATGAATAAAGATAGACAAATGAATAAAAAAATGAAATCGTTGAATAAGATTAAGGACAATAGATTTACGCATTACAATATTCCTACATTGATGAGACGACTTCAAGGAAATCTTTACTGTAATAATAATGGGGTATATAAAAATATATTTTTGGCAATGCCAAAATAAATCCCCCCTTCGGTAGGGATCATCATCATACCTGATCCATTTTCCATTAGTGTGAATGCTCTTGAAGTGTAATAGTTTCTGTTTCAACACATCATGTATGCAGTATCACCTTGCATCAGTATGTTTGGAAGGATGTCCTATTCACTCAATTGTGATAGCACCCTCATTTTCCATTCGAACTTGTCCAAAATCACTTTATCTATAGGGTGTAAAGAAATCCATATGCAAGGTATTGTGGAAGTAGGCACTTGAGTTGATTCTATTGCTTAAGAATTTATTATTGAAGTCTCAGAAAGGCTATAATAATTGCTTGGGGAGTATATTTTGTTCGAGGGAGATAGTCACTTAAAGGATTAAAGCTGATTACTTGACTGGAGGATAGCCTAGGGGCACTTGTGTGACTGTGGATCACATAAGATTGAAAGAGACATTCTATAGGACTACCATAAAATGAAGGATATTGTAAAGAATTTAATGTTGAGTTAGAAGCAACATCTAAATAAATCAAGTGTAGCTGAGGTGAGAATGTTAAGATAGATTTGTGAAAAAGTTAAAGAAGATAACAGAAGAAATGAGCATATTCATAAAACGGTGAAGCGCTTAAGGAGGCACCTATTGAAGGAAAATTGAGGGGAAACCGTTTTAGAAGATTTCGACACTTTTTCCAATAGGTGCCACGTTTTCAATGAAGATTGACAGGTGTACAGATTAAGAAATCTGATGAAAATAGTACTGACAATAATCTTGGTGGCCGAGGTCAACTTAAAATTATCTGGAATGACTTAGTCTAAAAGGGTTCAAGATTTTGTTTACTTTGGAGATGATTCTTAATAAAGCAGAGTGGACTAAAATCTTCATTTAGCCGATACTTGATAGTGTGAGATAAGAATTCTCAAAGTTAAGCACTAAAGTTTCACGATCTGCGTTCACCATCCAGACTCGAGTGCAGTCTTCTATCGCCTTGGCAAGAGTGCCAAATACAGTTCATTTGTTACCTTGCAACATTTATACATTTAGTTGTAGTATTGCCATATATGCAGTTAAAAGGGAAAAAATAGAAATCTTTTTATGCCTCTCATAAATTGCATTTAAAGTTATTGTACTTTGTGAAATCTCTAGCAATTACTATTACTTCAACTTCATTATTTTTAGTTTAGATTGTTAAAATATCGTCTTCAGTACTCCAATATGGAATCCCAAACTATTTTATTAAATCTAGATGATATTTCCGCTTATCTACTTTTGTCTTCATTTAAATCCTTAGAAGATACAAGAATAGGTTGCAATCCTACTTTATGTCTCACTGGACTCGTAGCTTATAAATGGTAAGCGGTACCTAGTGATCTTTTTGGATGAAACCAAGATCATTTATATTTGAAGACAATGTAGTAATTCTTTTGCCTCATCTGAAATTGTGTAGTAGGGTTTGACTGTTGTACAAATTTTCTTTTCCACATGGATAATCAAATAAGAAGCAGCATCAAAATTGTTGTAGCCACAAAAACAAAATGATCACAGGAAAATGATAGCCGGAAAAGTATCTTTGAAACACAAAGAACCTTAACTTCTGCTTGAGAAAGATAAATAAAGAATAAAAATGCTTCTCATCTTTAAAAAGTATGCCATTCAAATTGTGCTTGTCCTTGCACAGTTGCACATTTCACCTGCTCGGTAGAAGTAGGCATTTGTACTTGTTGTGGACTTTGTGTCTCGTATTATATTTATTCCCTGCATATATATATGAATTTGATTTGAAAAGCTTCTTAAATTGAACGTCCTTTTGATGCCAGATATATAGATGGAGAACGTCTTTCAGCAGAGGACGAGAAAGTTGTAGTAGATAAGCTTCTTGCTTATCATCCTCATTCTGAAGATAAGATTGGATGTGGACTTGATTCAATTATGGTTAGTTACTTTTAATAGATTTCTTTGCTGACTTGGTCGACCTGATATCATTCACTTAAATTTTTCCAATCAATGTTAGAGCACAACATTTATAATATTTTCACCAGATAAAATAGGTAGATCATAGTCGGCTTAAAAATGCTTACCTGCAATTCCATAATATGGTGCAAATAATGTTGCACTTCTCAGCCAATCAAATTAAGTTTCAAAGGAATTCCTGAATCTAGTATTGGTACCTAGAAATGTAATGTGAATTAAATGGACTGCTTACTTCTCTATTACGCTTGATGATGCAGTCCTGCATTGTTACCTAACTGTTTGAATGACTAGCAACCCAGATTTTAATCTAAGTCAAAGTTAAACAATCAATATTAACCACATCTTTCATAGGTCCCACAGCTTTTCAACCACACATTTCAAAGACTTCTATCACAATATACTAAAAATCTAATTTTAATCTCCACCAAACACCCACTAGAATTACAAGTTCTTATAATTTATTTTTAGATGATAGTATTGGACTTTAATAGTTCCCGTGTTTAGTATCCAAATTTGGTGTATTTTGGATGATTTGGGTTTACAAGACATTCATTTGAATGGTTCTTACGAAAACTTGCCACATGGCCGCCACTAACCGATGATTATCTGAAGATGTCAGAGTGAATATAATTTTACTTAATTATGATCATCATTCAATAATATATCAAAGATGTTTCAGTTCTGAATACCGTCAACACGGACAACTAGCAAGTTGACTATGAGCTGTGGCAATGACTTTGACTTTGATGCCTCAATTTATATTCATGTATTAATTTCCCTTCCCTCCTACTATTAAAAAGTCGCAGATAATTTATGAAAGATAAGGCTGTCTTGTTTTCTTTTTGTTGTTGGAGGGATGTGTTCTTTACGTTAGACAAATCTTTGTCTTTGAGAATGTAGAGAAAGTAATTCAGCAGACCGATACCATGGACTCTGCTGATTGATATTCGGGAATGCTAACTGTTTATTTGACATGATGACGCATAATTGTGGCAGTTAATATAAATATTGGGATCTACTTTAAAGTCTATGGACTAAAAGGCTCTTCAATTTCTCACTTGCATAAAGGTTGATCGACATCCCCAGTTCAGACATTCAAGGTGCCTTTTTGTTGTGAGAACTGACGGTGGATGGATAGACTTTTCCTACCAGAAGTGCATTCGAGCATACATTCGAGATAAGTACCCTTCCCATGCAGAAAGATTTATAAAAGAACATTTTAAACGCGGAAGTGGCTGACTTTTCTGAGATTGTTCTGGCCAATACTTTTACATCACCTGAGCATCTCATCGGTATTACATGATATTAACAATGGATATGGTTCACGTTTATACTTATTCAGCGGCCCACATCTTCCACTATGACACCATTTTTCAATGTAGTAGTTATTAGTTGACTAGCAGCATTTCATATTTATTTTGAGACAAAGAAATGAGTGAATTACAATCTGTTTCTTAATTAAATTCTCTTTTATGCCTGTTGTATTTTTGACAAGAAGTTCATTGCTTGTAGATGAGTTTCCCTCCCTCATTTTTGAGGCATGATACTCTCTGGAGAAGTTACATAATGTACAGATGATTTGTTATAATGTAATTTAAACAAAAAGTTGATATTGCCGCAAACGATGACTTGTAAATAGAGGTGTAAATAGGCAGTGACCCAATTTTTTGTGGGGTGTATTATCCCAGTACGTCAAGAAAATTCTAGGCTGCCATTCGGATCATGATTTTCCTACCCCGTCCTTTGAGTTGGGCTTCTGGAATGCTTCAAAATGATGCTTATATTTAAGTCATTCCTACAGTCCTACTTGAAAAGGCGAATTCATTATTTGAGATTAACCTAGACTACTACTGCATAGTTTCATTTACATCGATCAACTTTAGATGGAATAGGATGTTTTGTGACCATATGTATGACCTTTTAAAATTTGATTGTTTTATGGCACGAGTCACATCAGAATCAAACAGAATTGGCAAAGAGTCAATCTTTGTGTGTTCACCAGCTGGAACTTTTTATGGATTTTGGGTTGGCTCGTCAAGTCATCAAGCTAATTCCAGTCTTAGTCTACCATCAACAAAATTTTAGTGGAGATGTACATTATGAATGTATTACGCATTAGTTGATTTCTGGTAGGAATGGTTGAAAAAACTCGACAAACCCGATACCATTTGGGCCCATTTTTTCAAACCCGATACCCTTTCGTGCCCTCAGGGCGGGGACGGGTAACGGGTGCCCCACCTCGTTAATTTTTTTTTTTTTTTGAAAATGTTTAAAAAATTTCATTAGTCCTAATAGAAAATAGCAAATAAAATTATTTGTCTAAATTTAATGAATATGGGCAATAAAAATAAATTATCAAAAACTAAAAAAATAAAAAAAAATTTAAACGGATAGTAAACGGGGTAAGGATCTGTCCCCGGCCAGCCCCGCCTTAAACGGGTAACGGGACGGGGAATTTCTTAGTGGGGCGAGAGGCGGGGAGGGCCCTCCGCCCCGTTGTCATCCCTAATTTCTGTAAGTAAAATAAATTATGATACTCGAAATTATGTAAGACTTCTCGTATTGTCTTCGACATGAAATGGATGGTTCTAAACTCATGAAGTATGGTTTTATACATGTCAATACCATTAGTTGTTGGAGGCAAGAAATATTTCTTGGCTATATACCCATACGAAGTGTATAAGAGAATGAAATGTTACTTCAAGCCAATGCAAGTTTTCACGAGTGAGGACAAACTATATGCGCAACTTCTCGTGTATTAGTATAACTTCTATTCGGTTGAAACCTGCAAGCTTACGAGATTGTTGACAAGTAATAATAAAGTGAGTTATCGTCTCCCGAAAAATAATGTTTAAATTTAGTTCAACGGGGAATTTTGCCCCAGGGCGGGGCGGGTAATGGGCGCCCCGCCCCGTTAATTTTTTTTTTTTTTAATTCAATACTTTAAATGAAAATGTTCACAAAATTTCATTAGTTCTAATAGAAAATAACAAATAAAATTATTTGTCTAAATTGAATAAATATGGGTAATAAAAATAAATTATCAAAAACTAAAAAAATAAAAAAAAAAATTTAAATGGATAGTAAACGGGGCAAGGATCCGTCGCCGGCCCGCCCCGCCTTAAACGGGTAACGGGACGGGAAATTTCTTAGTGGGGAAGGCCCTTCGCCCCGTTGTCATCCCTAATTTCTGTAAGTAAAATAAATGATGATACTCGAAATTATGTAAAAGACTTCTCGTATTGTCTTCGACATGAAATGGATGGTTCTAAACTCATGAAGTATGGTTTTATACATGTCAATACCATTAGTTGTTGGACGCAAGAAATATTTCTTGGCTATATACCCATACGAAGTGTATAAGAGAATGAAATGTTACTTCAAGCCAATGCAAGTTTTCACGAGTGAGGACAAACTATATGTGCAACTTCTCGTGTATTAGTATAACTTCTATTCGGTTGAAACCTGCAAGCTTACGAGATTGTTGACAAGTAATAATAAAGTGAGTTATCGTCCCCCAAAAAATAATGTTTAAATTTAGTTCACTCATTACAACTAAATTCGATGTTCATCATAGTAATTCTAAACTAAGAAAACAATAAAAATGTTTTGTCAAACATGTGAATGATTGTATTGGATTTCGAATCCCTTATTACCATTTATTTCAATTCTTGATTTGTAATCTAGTCAATTTTATGCTTTCGTGACAATTGATAAAGTTAATGTATTTTAATTTTTTTTCCAAGACAAATTAAGTTTGTTCTAATCACGACTTGGTCATATTCCTAGCCTGAATCCATATGATCAAAATACATTAAATTGTAGATTATCTATGTTATTGCATATGTGATAAAGATTATTCATAATTTTATCTACATATATATTATTTTGTCGCGTTCTAGACTTATTAAGAGCCTTCCAATACTACAACAAGCAATTAATTATTCAATTGGTGGTCAATTATTTAAATAATACAAAATCAATCAAGAAAGAACTAAATTATCAGTCTTAAATTAAAACAAACATACAATATGGTTTATCATTCATCCAATACAATAGAAAAACTAGCATAGTATTTTAATGATTAAATTATACAAAAAATATTGGAAACAATCACCCGAAAATAAGAAATAATGAAGGAATTGGAAAAATCTACTTCCTTAGCTTGAATCTTGAAAAAATGATAAATATTCTTCAATAATCTTGTATAATCTGCCTAGATCTTAATGCTTAGCCTCGTTCTCCACCTCCGAAATATGTAGAATATGTGATTTTTAGGTCTAAGGAAGGTTCGTGACGTTCTGGACGTATTAGATCTTATATAGAGTGCCAAATATTGCATACCAAAATAAGGTGCAACAAAACAAAGAAAATAATTTCCTTCGAGGAGCAAATGATTCGTAAACATGGTTCAATTTGAGTGTATATATAGTTCAGTCAATTTAGTCTCGGTCAACTCAAATAAAGTTTGAGTGTACACATAGCATGCAGGCCTATACACACACATGGTATTGCCATTTATGAACCAAATTGCATATTGATCCCTAAACTTTCCCAAATGTGTATTTTGATCATTTTCAATAATTTTTTCATCCCGTTGGCTTATCTTCACCTCCAATTGATCATTGGCATTCTTGAATCGCCGTCTTGTAATCCAACACAACCATTGGAATGTTTCACTTTAGTCTCCATGGTTTGAATTTTGTCATTTTTTTGTTCTTTTTTCTAATTCTTCATGTAATCATCGAGTTTACCTATTAAACGCAACAAAACACAAACTAGATCATATTTTGTTAAAAAAACATTAAAATGCTATAATCTAAGGCTCTGAATAAGGGTAGAAAATACACTTATCAACTTTCTTTCATTATAGGTTACTCCCAGCCCAATGAAACTTTGGTAATTTGTGTGATCAAAACTGATCCGTCACATGCTGTCACATTATTGATGGACAACATATCTCTTGTCCATTACCGACCAGAGGTCGGTTTTGTTTGTGCGATTATGAATGTCATTGCAATAATGAAGCATTAATCTAATCAAGTGTAGAAAAGAATAGTCAATTCATAGCTATCATGATTACAGATTTATTTGTTACTGCTTTTGACTAGTTAAAATTAACATTTGCATGAGCAGTAATAATGAGCACTTTGTTAAATTATGGGACAAACACTATCATTGAATCCAGAGACTAAAAATCGATTACATGGGCCCAACGGGAAATTAAAGGGTTTGGCTGCTCACAGCTGGTCATTTTTCAACCAGTGGGATTCAAGTAATTCTTGGTTGGTTTTTTAGTTTATTTTATTTTGTCAAAACATTTGAATACTGTAGACTGACTGCTGTTTGACAGAAAATTTACAACTTTTCCAATTTCATGTTATAAAATTTACTGGTTCTAGTAAGCTTTATGACCAATGGATATTGAACCGGTTCTTGTTTATGGAAAAAAGAGTTTGGGACAGAGTTGAGATGGATATATACAGTAACATTCTAGTTTGTACTGTGGAGTGTGGACTGGTCCCATTAGCTTAAACAGTACGGCTTATAGGTGAGTAATACTATGTAGCCCCGCTGGAGTTACAATCCTAGTCTATGTGACTTCAAATGATAGGTTAAATGAAATGTGAAATTAAATAATTTCACATATCATTTAATGTCATATTAACGTCACCTAAATTGAAATTATAACCCTAATAGAACTAAATANAAGATTACGTAACAATCACATGAATAGTTTATTTGTTGAATATTGTGCGCGAAGTGTGTCTGATCATTTCAATGGACTTTATCCTAGTTCTAAATTGATTTGGTTAAATTAGTATTTTGTTTCTCGCTAAACATTATTATTTTTTTCATTCTCATTCTTCTACTCATTTTTAACTGTACATGCTTCAATAAAATAATATTTTTCATCACATCAATAATTTTTCCTTTTTTTTTTCAACCACATATTCCCCATCACATCAACGGTAAAAATGTATTCTTACCTTCAAAATTGCACCAAACGGGGGCTAAAATTAAGTCCATGTTTGAGTCATATTAAAATTTTCATTCTCATTTTTAAACTCATTTTCAGCCACACATTTTTTTAATAAAATAATATTTTCCATCACATCAATAACATTTCCTTTATTTTCAACATCACATTTTCCATCAATCTGCTATTCCAAAATACATTCTTCCAAAATAACGTGACTCAAACACACCTAAGCATAGATTAACAATAAAGTGTGTGT